TCAGCTTGTTTTTTCAACTGAAATAGTGTTTTTCTCTCACAACAAATCAGCTGGAACAGTGTTTCGGCTTGTTTTTTCAGCGAAGCGAATGGGTCAATATTGCTAATGGCCGATTAATCTATTAGAAATTAACGACCACAGGTTTTAGGCATATGGCCCCGTTCGGCTTGCTGAATCTTGGTTGAAACTGGCTGAAAAATATTGTTCTGGCTGAATTATTGTGAGAGAAAAGCACTGTTCTGGCTAAAAAAACAAGTCGAATATGGGGTAAGCCAAACGGGGCCATACTGATATGTTTAATTAACAAATGAAGCCGGTTAAATTTAATGTTAATCTTGGCTGGTGATTAGCAAAGCAAAGGGGAGATGAAGCAGGTTTAGTTTTAACCATGGCTGACATGTCAAGGCATTAATTGCTCCCTAATTGTTTAATATTGTCCAAGTGCAATAAACGGCAGCTACGTGTGCATGCATAGGAGCAACAAGCGCATACTGGTCATTATACTCAAGGTCTAGTTTAGTTGCAAAAAATTTTGCAAAATTTTTCAAGATTCTTCGTCACATCAAATCTTTGGACGCATGCATGAAGCATTAAATATAAATAAAAAATAAAACTAATTACACAGTTTAGACGAAATCAACGAGACGAATCTTTTAAGCCTAATTAAACTATGATTGGACACTATTTATCAAATAACAACGAAAACCGCTACAGTAGCATTTCGCCAAATTTTTTGGCATCTAAACCAGACCCAAATGCAAGCAATACAGTAACGCGTGCATGCAGCGGTAGTCCAGCCGTCCAGGAGATGTGCGTCCTGAGGAAACGGGCAACAGGAAAACTGCGTCATCAGGAAACGGACAACAAGAAAGCTGTCGCGGGGATCGGATCAAGCACCAGATAACATTTTGCATGGAAATGCGGTGCGCGGCTCGTGGCTCGTTCAGGTGGATCACGACGGACAGGGTCAGGGCGTATATTCTGGTCATATGAAGGCGAGATGCAGCAACCTGTGCATGCGAAAGAATCCAGGAGACATGCAGGTGCAGGGACGGTGGCTACTGACCGAGCACGTCCTGCGCATGGCGGACGGACGCACTGTGCATGCCGTGCGCCACGGAGATTCTGAGGAACTGAGCGGACAGAGGAAGGAGTCCACACACTCGTGCGTGGAGATCAAAGTCTAGATCACCATATATATATATATATATATATATATACACACACGTACTGTTCTGTAGCTGGCAGCAGAATAAGTTATTTTGTGGCCACTTTAAGTTACGATAATTACTATACTAATTTATGTGATTATGGTAACTCTCTCATAAGTGATTTACTATAACATTATGGTAAGTATCATCTTGAATTATAGTAATCCATATATCGTAAATGTGTATTGTCATTATCGTAAATTGGTATAAATATTATCGTAAAATAAGATAGCTATAGAATAAATTATTCAGTGGCCAGCTGTAGAATAGCCTTACCGTACCGTGTATATATATATATATATATGTGTGTGTGTGAGGGGGGGGTTTTAAGGCCGGTAGAGGGGGATCCAACATCGTCCAAAAACAAATTATCACTATTCTATTCATTTATTTTCTTCGTCTACTTTTCGCATCTAGGTTAGTAGCTATATTTTGCTAGTTGCCCGCAAACAAGCTGCACGCTCCAGCGAATCGGAGTATCCTTTTCTGTTCTTGCCTGTGAAGCAGCCGGTCCTTCTCCGTAATCGAAAATCTCTTTACTAGTTGGCTCGAAAACTAGTCGTGGCGCTTCTACAAAAGTGAAGCAAATAGTCATTGGCGACTTCGCGTGTTGATTTTCGGCGTCAACACCCATGCCTTCGACAAGCTAAGGGCGTGTTTAGTTCGAAAAAATAGTCATAATTCGTTTGTATTTGGCAAAATTGTCCAATTATGGACGCTTAAAAGATTGTTGATTTTCTCGGCCAGTGTGTAATTAGGCGTCAACACTTCCGGTGCATGTCTTACAAGATGCCTTCGTACATCTAAACGGGGCCTAATTTTATCCTATGCATTCTGGTGGCCCATCAATTAATCTCAACAATCTGCCGTTTCCTTCTCTCCCAAAGGCAACACCTGCCGGCAAGCTTCCGGCGCGCATTTTCAACCCCAGACAGCCCCACGAGCGCCCCCAAAGAAGACAGAGTCTTCCACCACACGAAGCCAACCACAGGCAGACAGAAAAACGTCATTCGGCGCCCGGTGGTCCGGCCGCCCAGCTTAGTTTTGTCGCTCCAAACGGCAGCCGAATTCATCCCTGACAAGCCTCGCAGACCCCGGTGCTTCATCTGTTACTACTCCAAACGTCGCCATCCATGGGGTAGCTAGCTAGGAGCGCGCTTCTCACTCGCATGCTCGAGGTCCGTTGGGGCTTGCAAGATAATCGAGCAGTTTGGTGAGGGAATGAGGTAGCTCACCTAACGACTTGCTCACGTTGATGCAGTACTCGTCAGTAGTATAAGTACCACAGTACTTGGCCTCTAACGCATCGCATCACCTAGCTAGCTGACTAGCTGTTCCGTGACGAGTGGTAGCTAGCGTAGTAGGTACAGCCGCTTGCGCTCGAGAGCGAGCGAGCAGCATGGCCGGGGGCGGGTTCGCCGTGACCGCCGGCCCGTCCGTCGACTACGGCGGGCGGGTGACGTTCTCCGTCGTGGTGACCTGCCTCATGGCGGCCTCCGGCGGCCTCATCTTCGGCTACGACATCGGCATCTCGGGGGGCGTGACGGCGATGGAGTCGTTCCTGTCGCGCTTCTTCCCGGGGGTGCTGCGCCGGATGGCCGCGGCGCGCCGGGACGAGTACTGCCTCTACGACAGCCACGTCCTCACGGCGTTCACCTCGTCGCTGTACCTGGCCGGGCTGGCCGCCTCGCTCGTCGCCAGCCGCGTCACCCGGGCGATCGGCAGGCAGGCCGTCATGCTCGCGGGCGGGGCGCTCTTCTTCGCCGGCGCCGCCGTCAACGCCGCCGCTGTCAACGTCGCCATGCTCATCGTCGGACGCATGCTGCTGGGCTTCGGCATCGGCTTTACCAACCAGGTGTTGCATGCCGGCAGGCACTCCATTCTTGTCTTTGTTAATAACACACAAATGACATAAGTACTAGTATTACACTAGATGACAGTTCAGCTTGTGCAGTCACTATCCGGGGCTGATTAACAAAACTACTACGAGTACTTCGATAGTACTAGTATATATACTCCCTCCATCCACACACACACTATTTCTCCTGCACTATATTGTCAATTGCTACAAAAATCAACATCGCCTCGAAATTCATTTGAATTTGAAATCGATCAATTCTTGTACTTTTTAAATTTAAAAAATATGACATAATTTGACTATTTTTGGATAAACAAACAATACAAGATTTAAGTTTTACAAGTAAAATTATGTCTTCGCAACATGATGATATTTCAGGAGCAATCATCTTTCTAGCTACCTAGTCCGGAACTTGCAAAGAAATCAAATATTGTTATTCGCCAAAAAAAAAAGAAATCAAATATTGTCAAATAGTCTTGTAGCAGGCAGCAGCTGTTATGCCCTTAAACTACAAAATTTAGTTCCCTTCCATGGTCTTAAACTGACCCTGTAACTTAGGTTTCTTTTTTTAGTTAAAAAATTGATAGGAGTACTTGGTTCCAATAATAATAAGCAAACTTTTTTAGATGATAGGCGACTTTTTGGCAGAGCATGTGTAGACGATGACACACAACCATAAGAGCCACTAGCACACCATTTGCATTTCGTTACACTGCTGAAATAGGATGGCCAAATAAAACCCATACTCTTGCCCTTAATTAGTGTGCAATGTCAAACCAATACTCTTGCCCTAATAAAGTGGACTTTGTATTATCTTGATGATGTGCGTTGTTACGTTGTTGTCAACTTATATAGATGGATAGATAAAGCTACAAATTAAACCTACCCTACTCTGAAGCGGAGCCTACTTTATCATGTACTCCCTCCATACTAAAAAATAAAGTCGTTTTAGACAGCGACACGGTCTCCAAAGCATAACTTTGACTACTTATTTTTATAAAGATATTTATCAAAAAGTGATATATGTAAATTTTTGTGAAAGTGTTTTTCAAGACAAATCTATACATATGGTTTTCATATTTTCAAATTCAACAACTTAAAAGTTATTCATGATTTATATTCCTAATGTTTGACCCAAGCCTTTTCCAAAACGACTTTATTTTTTAGTATGGAGGGAGTAGGTAGTATCCCCAATCAAACTCATGGTCCACAGCTCCAGTTATGGTTATGTAATTATGTACCAGTCCCCAGCTGCCTATAAGATATTAGTAGTACGTACAAGTAGTTAGCGTTCTTCTTGACAGGAATTCAAATAGAAAAGTAAACATGTTGTTGCACAAAAATGGTAAAAAAATTTGTCCCATTGTGGTTTTGACTTTTGACATGGTAAGTATTTATTTTTAGAACTGAAGTGATGCGAATATATATATTTAGTATGTTTCGCATTAAAGGCTAGCTAAAGTGTTTGGTAGGATACTCTAGTCTCGGGTAAAATGAATTCGTGCACAAGACATGAAGTGAGAGGTGCTGTCCACCTCCACCAAAGAAGAGTAGTTGGCCATAGACAAAAAGAAGCAATTGACACTGTAGCACGAGGAGATGGGAAAGGTTGTTGCAACGTGCCGTCCTGCTTTGTTTGCTCATGCACTGTCCCTCGAGGTAGCTAGGGCTAGTGGTTGGTTTTGAGCCAGCACGTCGCTCTCAAGCCCCGCGGCCTGCATTGCAACTCATGCAGGCATCCGGCTTTCTTGGAGTAGTTGGCTGTCCAGCTGGTTGACTTCAGACGCAATCGCAGGACCCATGTTATTAATCTTTTGCAAGTACTGTGTGTGAATTGTGATGATGCATCATGATGACACGTGCGTGACAAACGTACGGTGTGTTACGACGCGCTAATGTTGCGTGACAACTGACAAATGCATGGCTGGCAGGCGGCGCCGGTGTACCTGGCGGAGACGGCGCCGCCCAAGTGGCGGGGCGCCTTCACGACGGGGTTCCAGCTCTTCCTCAGCATCGGCAACCTGGCGGCGAACCTGGTGAACTACGGCACCTCGCGCATCCCGACGTGGGGGTGGCGCCTGTCGCTGGGCCTGGCCGCGGCGCCCGCCGCCGTCATCCTGGCGGGGGCGCTGCTCATCCCGGACACGCCCAGCAGCCTCCTGGTGCGCGGGCGCCCCGTGGAGGAGGCCCGCGCCGCGCTCCGCCGCGTCAGGGGCAGCAAGGCGGACGTGGACGCGGAGCTGGAGGACGTGGCCCGCGCCGTGGAGGCCGCACGGGGCCACGAGGAAGGCGCGTTCCGGCGAATCCTCAGGCGGGAGCACCGGCACCACCTGGCGATGGCCGTGGCGGTGCCGCTGTTCCAGCAGCTCACGGGGGTCATCGTCATCGCCTTCTTCTCGCCCGTGCTGTTCCAGACGGCCGGGTTCGGCAGCGACGCCGCGCTCATGGGCGCCGTCATCCTCGGCGCCGTCAACCTGGGCTCCACGCTCCTGTCCACCGTCACGGTCGACCGGTACGGCCGGCGGCCGCTGCTCCTCACCGGCGGGTTCGTCATGATCATCTGCCAGGTCGCGGTCGCGTGGATCATGGGGTCCCAGATCGGGGCCCACGGCGAGTCCGCCATGGCCAGGCCCTACTCCCAGGCCGTGCTGGCGCTGACATGCGTCTTCTCGGCGGCGTTCGGGTGGTCGTGGGGCCCGCTCTCCTGGGTGATCCCCGGCGAGATATTCCCCGTGGAGATCCGGTCGGCGGGGCAGGGCATCAGCGTGGCCGTCAACCTGGGCGCCACGTTCCTGCTCACGCAGACGTTCCTCTCCATGCTGTGCACGCTCAAGTACGCCACTTTCATCTACTACGCCGCCTGGGTCGCCGTCATGACCGCCTTCGTCGTGGCGTTCCTGCCGGAGACCAAGGGGGTGCCGCTCGAGGCCATGGGCGCCATCTGGGAGCGCCACTGGTACTGGAGACGGTTCGTGCAGCCGCCGCCGGCCAAGACGGCAGCCGAGGACCCCTGATGAGTGACAGAGTGGCGCTTCGGTTGTGGACGTAACACGCTTCCTCGGACGTTCTGTTTGTGAATGTGAATGGAATGGCTTCAGTTTGTCTGTTCTGTTCGTTTGTCTGAGCAAGAGCTAGCTGTGTGTGGACTAAAACTGAAACTAGTGCGTATTCTTGTCCGTGTTTCCCGTGATACGTCATGCAAGATTTGAATATAATAAGAGGGCTGCTATTATTTCATAGTAATATAACTTAACAATAACTGAAACAACAAAGACTCCGTGGCCCAATGGATAAGGCGCTGGTCTACGGAACCAGAGATTCTGGGTTCGATCCCCAGCGGAGTCGTTCGTGTTTTTTGAATTATATTTCACCCTTATTTTGACTTATACGGAGTATATACTGTTTCATTTATACTTAACATCACCCTTATTTTTGACATGTACACTCCTTATTTTGGACTTATACTTTTACTTTTATACTATTTTACCCTTAAAATCACTGGGATGTCGGTTCTTGTTTTTTTGACTTACTATTTCACCCTTATTTTGAGTTATATACTATTTCACCCTTAGCATCAACTGGGATGTTTACATTTTTTAGGCGTGGCGTGAAGCAGCTATAGAAAAACAACTCTGGATATTTAATCTTCGTTTCCAAGGGTTTTGTTACCAAATGATACAAAATCTGGTCCACAATTTGCAAACAAATGTTTAAGAGTGCAGATAGAAGACGAGTATGGACCTTTTGCGTCAAACATCAGCACAAGCAAAACATCCTATGATGCCATAAGCCCAGAAATGAGTCCAAAATAATTATTGCATCAGTTCCAGTTCGGGTGTACTAATAACATAATAATGTAGCAAGAATCAAAGATGAGAGATCACACACCAGCGTATCAGATGACACGAGTGACCGAGTCAGATTCTGCTGACTCTACATTATATTAGACTAACGAGTACCCAACATAAATTATGATCCCCCACACGATTGGAGAACCGAGAGGTCAAGAAATGCACTCTCTGCAAGCTTCAGTGACGAGGGGAGCTGTAGCCAGTCCGGAACAATCAGATCAGGGCGATGCTGCTCTCGCCACCAGGGGGCTTGCGGATGCCGCCAAGGTATTCTCGGGGAGCTGGCGTTCCATCGGCAAAGATGTCACTGCCGCTCATCTCCTTCAGCTTCGCAGAGCTCAGAGACTTCTCAGCTGAGGCAGGGACGTCCTCCTTGAAGATGTTGTTACCTGTCAGCTCCTGGAACTTCTGGTTGTGGATTTTCTTTGCTGTCTTCACTACGGGCTCTTCACTGAATGAGATGTTGCTTGGACCTCCGGCAGGCTGCAGCATAAGTTTGCATAGAGTCAGAGGGGGAGATATTCATTCATGCTAACATGAAGAAAAACATATAACTTTTGTTCAAAGGGGTAAATACGATGGTATCCCAAGAATATCAAGTCATATGAGAACAACATCAAGTAAAACATGAGGGATTGTTCTATGCACTGCTGTTAGCCTAGCTAGTGTATTTCATATGAAAGGCTTACAAACACATTCTTTGTAACATAAACACCAAAATTTTCCTTTTCATAATATCCTATAGAATTATGGTACAAATAACTATTAAGCATATCAAATTAGGACATTATCATGCTAGAGGAGAAGATTCAAGCAACAGTCTAAAAGCCCAGCTTTGAATTCTTGAATTCTAGGACAGACATTTTACCATAGACAGATTTGATTGTTAGTATAAAAAGCACCAGCATGCACTGGTATGCTAACTTAGTATTCAGCAAGTAGGTATGCAAAAGCACAGTACCTTATTCATGCAAATACATCAAATAGGGATCACTAGTTATACAGTACAAATAGCTAGCAGCTCAAATATTTGCATCATTTGAACATAAAACAAATAAAATCCATACAAATAATTGTGCAAAAATGGAATACTAGCCTGCCAATGTTCAGCCATGTACAAACCATATTAAGTTGGAGCTGAAATCTGTTTCCATGACATATTCCATGACATGAAGAGCCAAATTTCCTACATTATGCTTATGCCTTTGGCTGGGTAGGGCATAGCCAAGAACTAAATGAAATGTGCATCAAAACATCAATAGGAAGGTCATCTTCTAATGTCACTTACATTAGATACTTTAACTGATGTGTGGACGCTTCGCTGGGGAAGTGAAAAGTCAACATTTCCTTGTAGCTCCATGTTACGAGCAGCCAATGGCCTGGCAGGAATCTCAGGAGGCGGACCAAAGATGTCACTGCCACTAAGCTCCTTGGTCTTGGCTTCAGAAAGCTGCTTATTTATTTTAGCATCAGCATCTTCCAGGGTACCACTAAGCTCTCGCTGCTTAGCCACCTCAGGTATCGACGATGGCTTCTTCGGTGAAACACTTCCATCGGCGCTAAATGAAATCTGGCTTATTCCAGTCACAGTTTGCTGTCATGAAAAGTCAACTCACATAGTAAGAAAACAATTCTTCTGTCAAATAGAATCAATCAATGCAAAATAATTAGAGATACAAAATCTATAGTCAAGCATAAAGTTACATAAACCTAAACTTAGAACAACGTGAGAAATATAAGTTCTGGAAGATGCAGTTCCTTTGAAATATCAGTTATAGTGCATTTCCTTAACAGAAATATATGCATCAACTTGGCATTCCATCCACATAAACATATAACATGTACTGGGATGGATCAGCACAGTAATGCTAAGGAGGGGAGAATAGGTTTCAGTAGAAGGATCTGAATAAGACCAGTACCTGGTACATCCTCAAGGAAGTCTTGTTAGAAGGATTTGAAGCCTCTGAATCACCATTTTCACTCTTCTCAGCGAAAATCCCACTCCCACTCATTTCTTTCAACTTTGAGCCAGAGCAAAATTTCCTTTCACTACAATAGGTCAACACGAAGGTTAGTGTTCACTGTTCAATATATTTTATCTCTCTGAAGAAACGGCCAGATAAATGTGGAAGCAATGCTGAAAATTACATAGACTAGAACATCCCCAGCAGTTTGTCTACCATCGTCCAATGCAAACACTGAATCACAGAACTGTCAGGTACACATTTTCATGTAAAACACGAATTTCTAAAAGAAACATGCACAAGGTTTGTCACAGTTGCCTGAAATTTTGCAACACCCTCCAGTGTAAAACAGAAGTGTTGATACTTTCTAAAGAAACATGTTAAACAGGCAGTGACACCGCTACAGCCTACATCAAGGAGTCGGTGCACACAGCCTGCCATCACATCAACAATCTGGAAATGTCCACATTTCAAATTGGGCACTTGTGTTCTGCATCCTTGAAATCCCTTTCAGTCAGTGCTAAAAACTTGGAGCAATGTTTTCAAGTCGTCTAGTCGAACCTAGTCGCCATGGGACCGACCAGGCGACTAATCGCGATTACTCATCGACCAGGCCGATTAGTCTAGCAGAGTGGATTGCTTCTCTTTCCTTTGGAACCAGAGAATAACAGAGGGACAGCAGTACAGCACAGCAAGCAACCTAGCAGTCTAGCAGAGAGCCAGAGAGGCTGCAAAGTGAGGGATGGGGGGGAGGGAAGAAGATGGAGAGGGGAAAGGCACATACCGTCGTCGGAGCAGCTCATCACGAAGACCGCGGCCACTTGACCTAGCAGAGGGCGCCGTTGGCTTCACAGCTCACCAGAGAGGAGAATAGCGTGTGAGGGAGGGGAATAGCTCACGAGAGAGAGGGAATCGCGCGCGGGAAGGGGAGGAATCGCGCACGGGAGGCAGGAAACGCGCGCGTGGGAGAGTGGAGGCGCGCAGGGAAAAATTGCGGCCGCCCTGCGTTTGCCACCGTGCCTGCGTGCCTCCGGTATTTTGGGGTGCTTATTCTAACCCTAATAGGCCAAATTGGAAGCCCAATAGGCCACATATAGGCCCGGTTGAACAGGCCCAAAAAAATAGAGCAACCACACTGGTCGTCCATGGCCTAGTCGGACGACTAATCGTGATTAGTCGTCGACTAATCGGACGACCAGCTTTCTGGTCGAGCTAATCGAGTCGGACCTCCTAATCGAACACCAGGGACCGATTAGGACGAGTATTAATCGGACGACTTGAAAACATTGACTTGGAGTCTAGCGCCATCTACAATACACTACTGATACTATGACGTTGGACACTAGCAGCGTCACACACTTGCACCGTACCCCACACGCACGGCCCAGCCTTCACATGAACCAACCGCCTGCAAGCGACTGCTCTCCAGCTACCACCATGGGAAGGTGTCACGAGCATTGAAACATGCAGCTGCCACTCGTCGCTAAACCCCATCCACTGTAGAATGGCCTTCACGCCAAAACCAGAGCAACCAGGCTTGCTATGTTTGAATTGAGACATCGGCTAGATCGGCCAGAGCACACATCCGAACAGAGCACGCACGCACGCACACGTAGATACGCATCGCTAGATCAGATCGGAATCGGATTAATAACTAAAGTAGAATGCAGTAAACGACACAGATCGAGCGGATCAACACGGAATGCGGAAGGGGGATGCCCCAGATCTCACCTCTTGCTCAGATCCTCGGCCTCCTGCTCGGTGACCGGCGCGCCGAACATCGCCGGCGTAATCCCCGCGGCCGGCTGCTCACACATCATCACCCCCCAAGTCAGCCGCATAGCGCGGAAACAGATGAACAATCAATTCACAACACACCAACGCGGGTAGGGTATCAATAGGCAACGACAAACCTTGAGGCTGGGGCGGGAGGACGCGGCCGGCGAGGCGGATGCGTCAGGGCCCGTGGCCGACCAGGAGAGAAGGTCGGCCGTGTTGGTGTGCGGCTTCCGAACCGGCACCGCCCTCTCCATTGCTCTCCTTCCTTCCTACCGAGCGGCGGCGGCTACGAGATCGAGGATGCTTTCGCTCGGCCACTACCGCCTGCCTGCTCAGCTCGGCACGCTCCCCTCTCGCGATTTCTTCGGGAGCGAAATGGCAGTGGTAGGCTTGACACCTCTCGTTTCGAAAAATTTTGCCGGTGACACCGCTGCCTGCCACTGGTTTGTACTGGTACCCATCCATGCCTGTTCCCCTCACGAAACAGTGACGCTGAACCGACTGACATGTGGGACCACCTGGTACTGGAGCCACCTGTCGGTGTGTATTGGTTCTTAGGAGCAGGTTCGACTGGGAAGGCGTCGGGCGGGGAGCAGCGGATCCCGGATCCGTGTGTTCGAAAGGTTTTAGCGTTTCGTTGGAGTCGTGGTCGATGATGAGTGGGTGTGATGGACCAATAGATTCGGATGCTAATGCAGAGGATCCTGTCCGAGCGGGGTGCCGGTGGGCACGTTAGGCTCGCCGCTCCAGAACCAGACGGTGCGCTGCGGGCAGCGGGCTGAGGGCTGCGGCCATGCGCTCTCTCTTCGTACGGAAGCTACGCTCAACCATTGACAGCTTGGGCCCACGTGGGGCCAGGCTGTTAGCACAACACCTAGAAGCATTTTCAAAAGCCTGTTCTTAATTCACAAGAGTTGAGATTTTGTTTGAAAAAAAAATTCCAGCCTCTTTGAAAGGTCGAGATGGCGGATTAGAGGATAATGAATAGTCCTTTCTAAATTTAATTATACCGGCTAATCGAAATAAATGTAGAATTAAAACAATCGGTTTAGCCAAGACTACACTCCTCTATTGAAGTTCACAAGTACCTTATAAAAATCTTAATTAGGCAACAAAGGTGCCGGGCTAGATAGAGCTCACATATCCAATTCTAGAAGTAAGATCACACAAACTTATGACACTAGTATTTTGCACACCGGGGAGCTCCTACACTATTCTAGTAAGCAAAAGCACAAAGCTCCTAAGCTCACTAGCAATGCTCAATAACAAGGCAACCAATGCCAAATTAGAGAGCGCAAATACTTAGCTACACAAACTAAGCAATGTGACTAACAAGATTACACAAACCAAATTAACCACGCAAAGGAGCTACTTCTATGCTACACAAGCAAGAAGGTAACTAGTGAGCTACACAAACAAACTAACTAATTACAAGAGCAACTACACAAGCACAATGTATATGAAAGTTATTACAAGCTTGTGTAAGGGGATAGCAAATCAACGGGAAGAACAATGTTGATACGATAATTTTTCTCCCGAGGTTCACGTGCTGGCCAACACGCTACGTCCCTGTTGAGACAAGCTCCAAGGTTGTCGCCGGTCCTCTTGCTAATGGTGACCCGCAAGTCACACTCTCCCACGTGGAGTGCTTACCACAAGCTCTAGCACTTGACTCGGCAAGGCCACTTGTCGCCCTTCGCGTCTTGCTCTACTAGAGTTGCTCTTCGCGGCTCCCGCGGGGCGAGCACAATGTCCCTCACAAAGCTCTTCTCTGTAGCACTGCACAAGCTTCTTGCGGGCTTCGACGGAGACCACTGCCAATCCGTCAAGGAGGTGGCAACCTTCAAGAGTAACAAACACCACCGACTTGCAACTCGATCACCTAGTGCCACTCGATGCAACCTCACGATGCAATCGCATTAGAATCGCTCTCTCACACAATCGGATAATCACTATCAAGCATATGTGAGATGGAGGGCTCCTAAGCACTCTCAAGCATGGACACAAAGTCCCCCAAGGTGCTCTGACTCAGCCATGGCCGAGACCCCTTCTATTTATAGCCCCTACGAAAATAGAGCCGTTGTACCCTTTTCACTGGGCACTGCTCAAGGCGACCGGACGCGCCGGTCATATCGATCGGACGCACCCTGCCAGCGTCCGGTCGCGCTACGTCATCCACGTGTCACTCTGCGTTCAACCGGAGCCACCCGATCTCAACGGTAACTACGCGCCAACGGTTAAGTTGTGACCGGACGCAGCAAAGTGAGGATAACCGGACGCTGCTACGCCTGAGTCCGATCATTTACAGAGAGCTCCCCGAGCCTTTGTTTTGTGATCGGACGCGTCCGGTCCCTGGTGACCGGACTCACCTCTGCGTCCGATCCCCTTTGATCAACTCTATACGCTACGTCAGCATACGTCATCACTGACCGGACGCAAGCCCTACGCGTCCGGTCACTTTTACCGTGCAGTGTCCGGTCACTTGACCGAGACCGCGCCCAACTGCTGCCACTTACCGGACGCGCCGGTCCTATCGAGACCAGCGTCCGGTCACTCACAGTGACCTTCTTTGGCCTCCTTTTCTTCACCGAGTTGATCCTCATCAACTCTAACTTCTTCTTTGTAAATGTGCCAACACCACCAAGTGTACACCACCATGCGTATGTGTGTTAGCTTTTCATAAACATTTTCCAAAAAGTTAACCACTCAACTTGCCGTGCCACTCGATCCTAGCAACGATGCAAAGTTAGATCACTCGAGTGACACTAGATGACCGATATGCAAACAAGTTTGCCCCTCTTGATAGTACGGCCATCTATCCTAAACCCGGTCATAAACTTCTCTACACACCTATGATCGGTGAAATAAAATGCTCTAGATTATACATTTGCCTTGTGCATTCTATTTTATCTCCTCCATTGTTGATGCAACACATGCACCAACCAATCACCAAATGATATGATCCACTTCATATCATCACATGACCATATTGGTTCATCGATCTTGACTTCACTTGCTTTTCACAATTGCCTTCGTCCATCGGTGCCAAGTCTTGCTCAAGCTTCACCGCCACGCGGTCCATCACTTCAAAGCCTCCGACTTGCCCTTCACGCTTGCTACCGGTCCATCAAATCAAGTCATGTCTTGATCTTCTCCACCTTGATCACATGACTCCATGTCATGTCTCATGTGCAATAAGCTCCTTCATCATCACATATGTGAGTTTTGCAACATCTTTGAGTCATCATCACCGTCATGGCATATGTTGCTCACACACATATACCTGTGGACTAATCACATGTGTATCTCACTTAAACATATTAGTCCACCTAAGATTGTCACTCAATTACCAAAACCAAACAAGGACCTTTCACTCTTAAATTGGATCTCTAAATATAGATATCCTCTATTATGTATTACTCGTTAGCCAAAGATAAAGAGCGAAGATAATTATCTACAATGCACACAAGATATAGAAAAAGTGTTCGAGAGTACAAAGATATAGAAAACTATTTTTACTTAAATGACTCTGTAAATGATGATTTATAGAGTAATTTTAGAAATACTCTCGGAGATGCTCTAAGCTTGTGTAAGTGCAACTCCAGGAGTCTCTTTATATGCCTTCTAATTAACAAAAATAGAGATTTTGATGATAAAATACCCTCCAATAACTCCAAATATTGTCATCCTATATTTTAGATTTCTTGCTAACCAAAGATAGAGAGCGGGGTTGGCTTTGCATAGTTCGTACAAGATATAGAAAAGTTGTTGGAGCGTAGAAAGATATACAAAGCGGTTTTATCCAAATGCCTCTCGAAACGACGATTCAGAGAACGGTTTCATATTTGTTGAATATGAAAGCATGTCATGCTAGCCGTTCCCACCTTCATGTGCTCTACTCATCATTTGGCCATTGTCTTGAATTCATCATAAAGAAATATAGTGAAATTTCATATAGTAACTAGATATTAACATATAATTATGATCAACATATATAATTATTTATGAATCTGGTGTGAGCTAGATCCTGCGGGTGTGAGCTAGATCATGATAAATGGCTCACCATCACAACTAGTACAGTTCATCATCATGATTCATGGAACAAATTCAAACATAAATAGTTCATCAAATACAACCGGTTCATTGTCACAAATAATACCAAACATATCTAATTCATCAACTTCATATCATGTAATTATAGGTTCATCAAACTAACTACATAACTTAATTAGCCACCAGTCTCACTAGTGATCCATAAGGTAATTCATTCATCACATGCCATTGCTTTACCCTTCCAATGACCTGAAGGCACCTCGCCACTAGATCAAGCGACTAGCTCGCAGTGCCCTCGCATCTAGCGACTCCGAGCCCCGCCGCCGCCGCCGCCATCGCCCACCGCCTCCACCACAACCGTTCCCCCTCCTTCCCCCCCGGCATATCGTCGGAGGCCGGAGGGAGTGGGGATCCATCGTTTTTTAATAAGTTTTTTTTTTCAGTAGATCGAGTCCTTAGGGTTAGGGTCTATCCATGCCAAGTTTCTTGGTTCTGGGGATTTATTTCCTCCTCCTCTCCGGCGACGGCGAGAGGGCAGGGTGAAATCGTTTTCTCTATGGCGGCTCTATTGAAGATAAGGGCGACAACTACAACGTCAGCATCCTCACCGGTATGACGACATGGAAACTTTTATTTTCGGACGGCGACATCAAGGCGGAGATGGTGTTGTCGCCATGGAATAATTTTCTCCGGTCTCTTCTCCCTTTTATTGTGGTTAGATCTGGCCACGATGAAGGACTAGGAAGAATAAGTTTCAGATCAGTCTTCCTCATTCTCGGTGGCAGAAAGAAGAAGAAGGAAGACACCAGAAAGAAGAAATTTCTCAGCTCCGCCTACATGAATGTTGTTCGTTATTCGTTGGACATCAGTTTTCAGGTCTTTTACCGAGTGTTTGTCTGTGCGGCCATCCATACTGTGAAGCATCGTAAGGGTTTGGTTATGAGATATGAAGTTATTCACAGCGTGGGTACAATTTAGAGAAAAATCAGTTTCTGGATATTCGTGTAATCCAGAGTACTTGTAACGTGTTTATGTACCTAGCTATTATCTAATATAATTCATCTTTGGTCGGAAAAAATACACCTCGCCACTGCACATGAGCAAGTTAGGCACAAAACGGGGATGAGGAGGCCGCCGAGTAGCACTACTTGCATGTCGACAACGTCTGAGCTCCTATTGGCCTGTTCGCTTGAACTTATCAGCTATAATCTATAGTATTTTTTTCTCACAACAAATCAACTTTAGCCGGCTTATCAGCCGGCTTTAATACCAGCCGAACAGGCTGAATCGCCGCCACCATTTGTTGGGACTGGAAAGGGCGTTCTCGATGTGGTAGCAATAGTGCATCTCATGCTCCGCCACTATATGATGTGTCCATCCTTCTTTTGTTGCTGATGTTCCCAACAGGTAATTATACTCATTATAGATTGGATCCATCTATAGTGCAAAATAGGATATTGATCCATTAGAGTCCTAATAGACCCACCATTTCTAGCAAAACCTTAGCCACTGCCGCCAATTTTTCACACTTTCTTCCCGTTTTATCCTCTAATTCGGAGTTCGTTCATAAAACAAACATAACTTTTGCATACAAACTCCGTCCCCCCCTACAATTTTCGGGTTCGGGGACCCAAACTTATTGGGTTCGGTTTCTCCCGGTGATGCCTAATGGAGACTCGAAATAAATTATTTTGAATAAAAACTCATGCATTTTATTAATAAATTGTTTCTGTAAGTTATTAAGTTTGTTCTTAGTTCAGTCATAGAATTTTGTGTTATTTGTTGCCTCTTTTTTTATACATTTGAATATTTAGTATATATCATGCATGTGTTTCAAAAATTCCTTATTGCTTTTGTTGTATTGTCATATGGTGGTGAGCTACAGGTTTCAAGGTGCTAATCAGGTTTCAGGGATCCACCAGGTTTGGAGGTGAATTTTCACCTAAATCGATGTTCGGTGCAGTTTCAAAATTTAAATTTGGGTTTCAGGTCCAAGTCCACGGAGACTCCACCCGATTTGAATCCTCGTTGCCATCCCTACCAAAAACATTAGAAGCGCTACATTCTATCATTTTTGGTGATGTGGCACCACGACAGCGGGGAAGAGAGGCGGTCTTGCACTCCAAGTTGAAAACCTCGTTGTGCTGATATAAATATCAAGTGTATGTGTACACCCATGTCCCTTTACTAGGAGGCGTTTGGTATGACTCTGCTTCACTGGTAAAGAGGTTTTTTTTAGTTTTGGCTAAAAATCAGCTCCACTGGCGAGCCGAAGCTATGTTAGAAAAATATTTATAAAACAGCTTCTTGATAAAAATGGTGAAAATGTCTAAAATACATTTTTATTTATTTTTCTCATTTCTATTTATTTCGGGTTTTTTTTTTGTCGGTTAGAGGTGAAGTTCGTCCGTATCCGTATCTCTTTCTGCGTCACCCTTTTTTCCTCGGCTCGCCGTATCCTTTTTTTTCATCGCGTCCGATCCCGCCGCCGCGAATCCACGACCCGACGCCGCCACCCACGCGCCAGCGCCACGGCTGCCCCGGCCCCTCCGCCCGTCCGCGATCCGACGCCGCCACCCGCGTCCCAGCACCGCCGCGCCCCCGGCCCGCGCCACCACGCCCCCGGTAGAATCTCTACCAGACGCCCCTTAGATCCGCCTCTGGTCGTCGGAGAAGCAAATCCCATCCCATCCATGGCGTCGGCGTCGGAGCAGATCCCATCGCCACCCACCTACAGGTTCCGGCCTACGAAGCGCGAGCTCGTTCGAGGACGACGCGGCGGGGAGCACCAGGACCGCGGCTGCGATGGCGGCGTCGGGACGTGGAAGATGCAGAGCAGCCTCGAGAAGTGCCTGCGCGTCCGCGGCAAGAGGATCAAGATCCACGTCAGCAACCTCAACCTGCACATGGGCAAAGGCAAGAACAGCGGCAGCGTGGGGTGGGTGATGCACGAGTACACCATCGCCGCGCCGCCCTGCCCGTCGCCCGTCAAGATCTGCCACATTGCCTTCAGCGGCCACGGCCGGAAGCGCATGCGCGTGCCGGATGGCCAACAAGTCCGGCAGAGCCCTCTTCTTGGCAGCAGCGACTTTCAGGGCTTCCCGTCCGCAGTGTCAGAGCAGTACCCCGGGTTGGAGGCGCAGGTGCCGACAACAGAGCAGCAGGACACCGTGGCGCCGCAGTTGATGGTCCAACAATCTACCATGCCGATGGTGCAGCAGCTGTCTGAAGGAGAACTGGAGTTCTGGAGCTCGATAGGGGTTGATGTGCAGAGCAATAACAGTTTTGAGCAGGAGCACTCCACAGGGGTCCAGAGCAGCTGTGTGGTGTCCAACAACGGTGCCATGGCAACAGGGGTCCCGAGCAGCTGGGTGGTGCCCAACACCGGGGCCACGGCAACAGGGGTGCAGAGTAGCTGGGTGGCAGGAGACCTTGATGATTTCTGCAGGTCATTACTGGCTAATGTGCGGACCAACTGTGCGGCGCCGGGCTTCGGCAACATGGCCACCGGAGCGCTGGGCGGTGGCTGCTCGTTGATCTGTAAGTAGAAGAAGATTACTTTCTGGTCAAGAACTAACTCAGGAATCATTCGGAGCCAAGGTGCATGAAGCAATTTTCTAGTCTCTGGTCAAGAAGCTGTTCGGAGATATGCTCGGGGCTGTGCTAGGAGACTGCACCACAATTTTTTTTGTAGCTAGGACTAGGATGTAAAGCAGATTGCACTCTGCAGTGACTAAGTTTATTATTCAGTGGTGGAAGGCCACCCACTAATGTAACCATTACTCATTTTGTAGCCCTATCCTTCTATCATTTTTTTAGCCAAGGAGCATGGGGCAACAGTTTCTATCATTTTGTAGCCACCCACTCATGTAACCATTATACGGCCTGTTCGTTTAGTTGTAAACGATCGTAAATTTTCAGCCAGAACAGTATTTTTCTCTCACACCAAACCAGCCAGCAATAATAATCCACGATCGTATACGATCGTATCAGCACCAGCCGAATAGGCTGATAGTACCTAAATCTATGGGTCCATATATGTAATGTTAAGTTCTTCCCTATAATCTTCAGTTCATAATTGCCCAGGAGTTTGTTGTGACTTTTAGAATGGCTTGAATTACAAATGAATAAGAGTCCATAGCAGTAGTGGTCTGCTACTCCATTTGCTAAAGCTTATTCATACCAAGGATCTTCCCTGATCACGTGAGCTAAGATCCCCAGCCCATGGACCATAGCTGTCAAAGATTGTGTTCAGTATATAGCTCTGCCACGAGAAGCCGAAGAATTGCATTCCGAAGTCCAATGAGGCCTCTGGTACGAATCTTGTATTTCAGCAATGTTGTTCAATTCCCTCCGGCCTACCATTCAAAATGTTTCTCATCGAGGCAATGACTCAATATCACGAAGCAGAACGCAAAAAGAGACTGGAGTATAATATGATCAATACAAGCCAAGTCAATAATTAAGCTTATCTTAGTTCCCTTCTAATTCAAAACTACTTTTTTCATAAATTAGAGCAATTCACCTGTTGCACGATTTTACACCTATCAGCGGATAAGATAAATGATTCATAATTAAGGACATCGCAACTCCCAACTAAATTGTGCAAACTGGCCATTGTTGAACTGACAGAAAATTGACCATTCTGTTCAATTCACAGAAAATTGACGCAAATCATTCAATCAATTATCTCAATTCTCAAAATTTGGAGCAGGTGCTATACACTTAATAGTTTTGTATAAATATTTATCCTGACATGGGAGCGTCTGAACCAGTTGTTAATTTTGCTGTGAGAATTGACAATTGAGAATAGCCTAGTACTGCTGACTGAACGTTGCTGCAAGGAACATATCCTCCTCGCTCCCAACCCACCCGCACTGGCCGCAGCGCTCGGCAGCACGGCAGCACTGGGTCATGCCGCCACCGGATGTCCTCTCCGTGCTAGCAACGGCGGCGTGGCGGACAGCCTTGACTTCGACCAGCAGCTTAGGCGCCTTGCACCCGCGCAGCTCGCGGCCCACCTGCGAGAGCGTGAGCCACCTCTCCGCCGGCTGCGCCGCCGCCGCCGACGACACGTCGGCCCACGGGAGCTCGGCCCGCGCCAGCACCCGCGACGACGGCCTCACCCGCGCTCCGCCGGTCCCCAGTAGCGCCGCCGCCAGCCCGGACGAGGACGACGGCCGCGGCCTCCACCGCAGCTCGAACGCGATTCCCCCGGCCGCACCGCCACCACCCCAGCGCTGGAAGCGCGCGAGCTCGCCCCAGCGCAAGTCCCCGTCCACGGCGCACGGGACCTCCCGCGTGTCCACCCGCAGCCGCCGCCGCCCGTCCCCGGCCGGCACGTAGTACCTCAGGAAGAGGCTGCCGCCGCCGCGCTCCTCCAGCTGCTCCTGCTCTAGGCCATCCACCCTGACGACCCTGACGCCGAGCTCGAGGCTCGGCGGCTGCACCCTCAGTAATCCTGCCATTAACGCACGCACTCGATCGCGCCTTGCGCTTCTTCTTGCAGCAAGTTAACTGCAGGAACGCAGCAGTACTACTAGTCGTCCTAGCTAGCTAGTTGACGTTCGTGTTGGCGCGCTGGGCTGAGCTCATGTGTAGAGAGAGTTGCATGTGCAGGCTCCGATATATAGGCGGACCGCGGACGCCAGTGCTCTTGTGCTCGTGGAAACGGCCCTCGCTTTCCCGATCGAGCGAGCCAGCCGAGTCATCAACTTTCTAGTGGAGGTTGGCCTTGATTGATCCCCGGCCGCGTGAACCTTTGGGCGTGTCAAGGGTGGTTTGGCCATAGAGGAGGCACAAGAGTGATTAGTTAGTGACCAGCGCCGATCCGATCAGCCGATGATGGGCAGATATAATAACTAGATAAGGATGCGTCGCTGGGCAGATAACTAGATAAGGATGCGTCGCGTCAAATGGAGAGGCTGATATGGTTGATTAGTGGGTTAATTATGTGGGTTCTCGAACGAGGGCAGCAGCCGGGGCGAAGGCGAACGCTTTTCCCCTCCTTCCACTTGAGCACATGCGGCTGCTTCTCACTTGATTGGTCGTCGTCCTGTTTGTTTAATGCTGGCGCGACCGCTTTTGATTTGCCCAAGGCATGCATGCCCGTTGCACACGCACGTCTGCATGGGATTTCGGATAGCCAGATGAGGACGACGGGCGGGTGCTAGTTGTATTACACCTCGGATCGATGCTCACGCGTGCCTAGTTTACTAGCCCGCGCCGGTTAATTAGATGCAGCCTGCCCATTTTTCCCCACTCTGGAGTCTGGAGGTATTGTTAAACGTGTTCTATCGGTGATTCGTGCTCAGAGATCTCAGGTAGTGTGATGTGAGGGCGAGCGTTGTTTCTAGTGCTCGGTTGACCCAAATCCACTGCCTGCATCAGTGGCTGGAGAAAATGGTGGTGGTGGTGGGTGGGGTGGGGGGTGCCTACACTACACACACCTTGAATGGGATGTGTCACAATCACTATTTGGCCCGTGTGCGCCGTTAACCCTAGCGGCGCACACGACGCCCCACACGCCGGAATCGAAGAAGGGGGCGGAGGCGGGGGCGGCAGGTGGGCGGTGGGCGGAGCGGCCTGCGGCGAGGTCTCCGCTGGCGGGGGCGGTGGACGAGGAGGCGGCGGCGGCGGCGGAGGTGGCAGTTAGGGTTAAGGTTGGCCGGCCGGTGAAGTTTTGAGAATCTCCCCGGCTATAGATTTCGGCCGACCGGCCTGGCGACTGCCGTGACACGGCGGTGGTGGCGGGTTGACCGGCGGTGGGCGAGGCAGCGACGGCGCCGCCGAGCCGGGCGGGGTAGGCGGCGGGGGCGAGCGGCCGGCGAAGTTAGGGGAGGGCGGGCTCGTCCGGCAGGGGTGGTTGGTGGGCGGGGAGGTCGCCGGTGGCCTGGGCGGTGGTCGAGGTGGGCGGCGGGGCAATGGCTTGCTAGGGAAGATGAACAGTGACGTGGAGGAGAGGAAGCTGAGCAGGCGTGGGCGCGTGTGCGCCGCTATTGGTGCTGGCGCGCGCGTGTTGAGGAAGAGTCCCGGGGATGTGTCGACAAGTTCGATTAGGAGCAACATCACACTTCACTACATGCTCCTAGCATTATTGCAGCGTTGGTCAGCTCCTCCACTGATGGGGACATCTGATGAATGATCAACCATAGTACTCCCAATCAATCAATCATGTACGAACCAGTGGCAGCAACCCTGTTCGCTTGATCGTATCAGCCATGCTTATCAGCCATGATACAGTGTTTTTCTCTCATAATAAAATAGCATCAGACAGCTTATAAGCCACGGAAACGATGAAGCGAAGAGGGTTGCTTTGCCCTGAGTCGTTGACCACGCAAAAAGATGGTCAAGTTGGCTCCCACCCTCCCAGCCACAGCAGAGAGTGTATCAGGATTTACGGACTACTAACCGCAAGCTCCGTCTCTGTTATTTGATCCGCAGCAGATTGGGTCTACCAATGGCATAGGAAGTACAAGCCCTGCTGTATTCGCATTCTGACTGTACGGGTAAAACAAAAAGGAGTCGATCGCCTAAATATACTGTTATTACAACAAATAATTTTGATTTTTGAACTTGAGAGGGATGACGAAGCAAGGTTGAATGGGAGTGGCACCAAGGAGCCGGAATTATTCTATAACAAAAAATGAATGTGTGAATGGAATTATCACATAAATCAACGTGTCTCTCTGACTACAAAGCAGTGAGGAGCTTATTTGCAGCACAGCAAAGTTAAGGGATGGATGTACTGTCAATTATGCACTTGAGTCTGCAGTGGTTGCCTTTGCTCGATCGGCTTCAATCATAGCCTTGATGTAGAATTCACCTGCTTTGTAGGAAGATCGAACCATTGGCCCAGATGCAACATAGCGGAACCCCTGCCATTTACAACGAAGACAAGGCAATTTTGTCAGCACCCCAGCTAACTATGAGCAATGCGGAAAATGACTCTGCTTGAAGCTCGTTAACAATGAGAGAGATTCTGGGAACTAATAAGAACAATGACAGTAATCAAGTCCGCAAATGAATCGATGCTGCATCATAGGTGAAAATGCAAGTTTCTAGAGCCTTATTTTGCTAGCACAACTAAGTTTGGATTACCAAGATAGAATCACAGAAGGAATGAACATTCTATTGACGATTCTTCCTTTTGCAGCATTCCAAATTGCCAAACAATGATGTTTAATAATCAGCAAAGAGGCATCAGGGTCGATAAACATATTTATTTTGTATATACTGTGAAATTTAGTATTATGGTTGATAATAGGCTTGCCATGTATAGGATGACCAAAGGAATGTGGCTGCCTCCAAATGCCTCATACAATGTGAAAAGCTAAAGACACATCCGAGAAAGATAGGCATACCATTTCAACACCAAGGGCCCGGTACTTCTCGAAAGCTTCAGGCGTAACATACTCAGAGACAGGCATGTGGCGTTTTGATGGCCTCATGTACTGGCCAAATGTTATAACATCAACACCAGCAGCCCGCACTTTTTCCATGGTGCTAATAACCTGATCTGGAGTCTCCCCGCAACCCAGCATTATTGATGTCTTTGTAAGGGTACCAGGAGGAGCATACTCTTTTGCCATTTTCAGAACATCTATAGACTGTTTGAAATTTGCACGATAGTCTCGGACATTTCTTTGAAGCTCTTCCACTGTTTCAATATTGTGTGCAAAAACATGCAATCCAGAAGTTGCAACCTTCTCTACACAGCTTGGATCTCCACGGAAATCAGGTACTGCAAAATTAGTAGTAAGGGTACTGAATATGGAATGGTTAATGCAATAATTTGACAGGGCCGATGATCAACTCCACGCTAATATGCAAGTAACCAAGCATACGGTGAGGAACATGTCTCTTACCAAGTGCTTCAATAAGCATTTCTGGCTTCAAAGCCTTTAACTTCTGTACTGTTTCAGCAAAGTGACCACTGCCCTGATCAGGTAAATCATCCCGGTCAACACTCGTGATAACTATATATTCAAGGCCCCATGAGGCAATAGCTTGAGCAACATTGGAAGGCTCATCAGGATCCGGTGGAGGGGGTGTTCGAGATGTCTTGACGTTACAGAATCTGCAAATTAGTGATTTCTCAAATTCGTAAGCAACTATGGGCCTTAAGTTTATTTCTTCAAAAGGTAAATTTCACATCACAAACAACAAACATCCTTGCTATCCAGGCTTACACAAAACAAAACTATTGATGAAGCGGCTAAAACTATGTGGTCTAAACAACAAACCTGCAGGTACCCCGAAAATGGACATCAATCACACACAATAGAATAAGTGTATTTTATATAGAATTGCTTCATACAGAAAAAGCATCCATCTTATCGCCCCATCGCTAGATAGAACTACACAGTGGTCAGTGGCGTCTATGCATTTGTAAATTTAGATATCGAGAACATTCTTGCAACGCAACAGCTAGAGCAGTATAAAAGTGCCTAAAAAATCCAGAAGAAACATCTGAGCATATGAGGATGCAAAGTCAGATCATATGAATTCAAACAGTTCATGAATCAAGATAGAGCACACTGCAGCATGTTAGTCTAAATGTCTACCATACAGAAGCAAGTGAATAGCACATTCCAGTTACTAATTACTACTGTAATATATTGAATCCAAACATAACGCAATAAGGTATCAGATCGCACAGCCTAAACATCTAAGCATCCGTCCACGGTACCACAAACAAAGCAGAAAAATGAGCACGACGAATCTCTTACCTGCAGCCGCGCGTGCAGGTGTCCCCAAGGATCATAATTGTGGCGGTGGCGGTGCCGGTCTCGCCGCCGGACCAGCACTCGCCGAGGTTGGGGCACCGGGCCTCCTCGCAGACGGTGTGCAGCTTCAGCTCCCGCAGCTTGGCCTTGATGGCCGCGTACTTGGCGCCGCCAGGCACGGTCTCCTTCATCCACTTGGGCTTGGGCAGCGGGCGCTGCCGCGTCCCGACCTCCACCGAGTACGCGAAGTCGCCCAGCGACGGCGCGTCCGCCTGCAGCCGCCGCCGCAGCTCCACGAGCCGCCCTGGTTCCGCGGCGGGAGGAGGAGATGGCACTGAGGGGTCGAGGGTTTGGAGGAGAGACGGGGTGGAGGAGATGGAGCGGGTGGGCGCCTGGGTCAGGGCCCGGGTTAGGGACGCCGCGAGGTGCCGGCGGCCGTGCATGGCTGCGGCGGCGGCGTCGGCCGCGGTTGGTGGGGCGTGGCCGCGTGGGGACTGCGGACGGGAGCGGTGGGGGGATAGTCAGGCGAGATGGAGTTTGTTGGTTGTTTGGTGAAGATGGGGATTCGCGGAAAGCGTAACCTCAATGAGGCGTCTTAGGTGGTAGGAAGGCGTATTCGTGTGCCGTTCTGGAGAACTGGCCATCGTAAATCGATCAATGAAGATGATGAGCCATATTTAGATTCATTTACTCATTTGGAGATGGATCAGCGCTGATAGTACGAGTGTGCTTAAAATTTG